TCGAACTCAAAAGCGATTGGACAGTTGAAAAGGTTCCCTCGTGAGTATCATCATCAGGGTTGATTTTAAAAAATTTGATTGACTGAAAAAGATATAAAGAGGATTTTTATTTGAATGTAAATGTCCTGATCTTTGTTGACCGAGATGTCAAACTATATTGAACAGTTGAATTGTTGATTGGTTTGAATTCATGCATACTTCGAATGCCTTGTATTGTACCTAAGTGAATACAGACATTAAGGAATAGAAGAGAAAGTCTTTCTCACCAGCTGCTCGAAATTTTTCGCTTCTAGCTTGCAGATAACTGTTCTTCGCTTCTTCTACTTTACCTGATTCAAGAAAGAACACATGAACACCAGGAATATCCTTGTTAGATCTTCTTGCCGTTTCAAGTTGTTGTTTCTGGGTGAATTCGTAGAAGTCTTTTGCATTTGACATGAGAATGTTCTTGGAAAGTGTAGCACGTCTAGCCGTGGACTTGAGTACCGCACCAATTCCATCGCCACCACCCTTACCATGTCCTGTAGCTGTAAATGTCCAACAAGCATCCAAATCAAAATCGATCTTGTGGTGGATTAGGTTCAAAATGCTGGCATTGTTTTTGAAATATGCACACGCACCATCGCTAAAGAAAAGGAAAGGATGGACGTCATACATAAACTTCAAAAACAGTAAAACTTACCTCACATAATTCATCTTCTTTACCAACGGAAAATTTTTCTTGATAAATCGAGTGAGAATTTTTTGTACACAGTGTACGAATACCGTTGTGTGTTCCATATAATCACTGATGATCGCTAAATTTCGTTGTTCTTTTCCAATGGTCAGATGAATTGTAAATAAGGTAACTTGGTGCTGACTAAAAAACCCTTGTTGAACTTCACGCTGACGCATCAATGTATAATTCATTGAAAAATCTATTTGAGCAACAACGAAAGTCTTTTCTGTTGATTGACAGCGTAGCTCTTTGATATATTCACGTTGTTCGCGATTAATGTGTGTGTGAAGCAAGAATGGAGACCATCTTTCTTCAATTTCCGTTAATAAAGAGTCAGTTGAGCCAGACATCTGTTGAAGGTCGAACTTGTTATTGACTTTCTTCCACAAATTCCATGAACATTCGTCATCCAAATCGATCATATTGTTATCTGTGAGAATATCTGCGATGCTTTCAGTTGGACATTCATCACATTCACCATTAAAGCACTTTTCATTCGAGACAGTGTAAACCATTTGAGTAATTAGATCTTTCATATTGACCTTGCCACCAGTTGACAAAGAACCTGCATTGACACATTTTCGGTAGTAGTTGTTCCATCCCTGTAATAAAGCTACGTTACATTCGAATCAATATACAGCTGGTACAAACCTTCAGTAATAGATCCATGTTCTCATGTATAATACACATGCACGTTTCATGTGGTGTTACAGTTTTTACTTCACGTGGACGAAGAGCATTAAAAGTTGATCTTGCAACAGTTCCAGGATGTCGTTCATTGAAGATATGATAAGCATCCAAGACACTCATTTCTAAAAACCGAACTGCCACTGGTTGTCCTTTAATTTTAATTGTGTCTTTGGAATTGGATGAGGTTCGACTAATACCATCTTCACGATAGAAATTGACTACAGCATCAATTGTTGAATCAGATAAAGGAATATTTCCTCGTAGACATTGTGGATAGGCTAATATCCCATTATTTTTTCGAAGAACAAGCGATCGTCGAGCCTGATTTGGCTTTGATTTAAACCTAATAAATGAAAGAAGTTTTTAGTAACATTTGATTGGAAAAATGCGAAGATATCGGACGAAATGAGGATAGAATACGCACTATTTTTCAATTTTTTGTCGACCCCATTCTTTGGGAGCAATTGTCATCAAACGAACTTGTTCACTGTCATTACTATCAGCATATAACTTCTTTAATCCATCCAAAAGATCATTTGATTCACATATCATTAATCCATGAGGATTTGGATCATATGAAACTTGAGATTTTTCATCTAATACGTCACATAATCGATTAAGTTTTCTATATACCTCATCGACTTTGGCTCGAATGGATAATACTGCTGATCTAAATACAAATTTCGTTTCAGAAAATTTAAATTAAATTTACAAATCTAACCTGTCATGGATCGGGTCTATGTTCAACAGTTGAAATACATTTGATAATTGTTCCATCGCTTTTTCTTTTTGATGTTCAAGTTCATAAAAAGCATGGCATGTATCTTCATCCATTGATTCAGGATCAGTTGTTTCATCAACACGTAGTGATTCATCATCGTCGTTTGACTCAGCTGTGATACCACTGTCCATATGTGGATTTTCTTTCTCTTCTTCATTCAGATCATTAAATTCAACATTGACATAATCATCATCATTTCTGTCATCATTGACAGGAGAACCTTGTGCCATTGATTCATCATCACTTGAACTTTCATTGCCGTTGAGCTTCTCTGATTGATGAGTCATCATTTTCTTCGATTCAAATGTATGACATCTTGCACATAACCAGCAAATTCGGGTGTAAGGCACATCATACTGACTGATCAAAAATTTCGATAGTTCGGATGACACAGCCTTTACTCCTTTTGGTACACATCCAGATTTTTCATGCTTTATCGGATGTTCACAATTTTTTCGTCGTGGCATTGGAATAGATTTTTAAAGATAAAG